GTCTTTGCTCTCAAGGAATGAGCCATGTTTTTCCTTTGAAAAAGAAATTCAGTGGAGAAGAGAAATGAGTGTACCCACACATGGCGTCCTGGCTCATTAGAAGTGGCCAGGGACAGATTCCAGGATGGGAGTGGCCTCTAGTCTGTAATTGTATTGACAAGCATGTTAATCCTAAAGCGTCTATTTATCATCTTTCCTTTTAATGCCCTATATTTAAGAAAATGTATTGGAAAACATTGCATACAGTAAGAACAGTGTGGTTAGTAATTGCTGATTAGGCACGCTCTGTAAGATCCTCTGCTAGGCACTGAAAATATATAAAGATGAAGAAGGCCCAGTCCTTTCTCTCAAGGAGCTTGTTGTCTCTTGGGACAGAGATGTCCAAACAAAGAGTTCGGGTACAGAGGAGACACTCTGAACACATCTGAGGGGCACTGAGTGCTATGGGTCGGACCAGGAAGAGTGAGAGGTGTGTGTATGTGACATCGTAGGAAGAGCTTCCAGAGGAAGGGGCCATCTCTGTCAGAAGCCATTAGGGGAGGGAAGCGGAGAATGTTCCAGGGCCGGGGAATGAAGGCAGGAAAGCAGATAATACCAAGTCATAGAGTTGGGCCTACTGGTGGAATCTGTGGAAGGACTTCCTGCACCAATGCCACCGCTTGCCCAAGACTCTCCACCTCCCCACCCCATATTCTTCCACGAACCTTCCCTGAGGCTTCGCCTGGCACTCACCTGGTTGTCCCTGCTCAGGGCCTTCCTGTGCCCCTTGGGTACCAGGGAAGCGTTAAAGCCATTGGCCCTTCCTCGGCCCTCCTGTCCCCACACGTTTCCTGGATGACTCCTTTAACATCATTTAGTGTGTGAAAGATGCCATTAAGGCTATACTGCCGTCTCCTCCATCTCTCCCCAGTGGCCTCCAGGTCACCCACAAACAGGATTCTCTGGGCCTTTCAATGGACTGGAAAACAGGCTGGCATCTTAAATGACAGAACGAGGAGTCTGTCCATTCTTTGTCAAGAAGTGGGGACCCAGAAATTGCGATGTTGCTGTCATATGAAGAAGCCGTGAGACTGGATGAGGTCAGTGGGGGAAGAGGTGAGCCCAGAGCTTTGGCCCACAAGGAGGGTCCCGATGGCGAGCTGCCAACTCTATCTTCTAGTATCTATCTCTGCAATGTTGTGCTACTGGGTGTACGAGCTGATAAGGAGGAGACGTGTTAGAAAACCTTTGGGAAGACCTGTTCACTAAAACGGCTTAGACACTCAGGAGTGTCTCTTCGTCGTTCTGCCTTCTTCAGGGTGTCCTATAATTAACTCATTACCCTAGTTCTCATTTTACAGCCTCGGAAAGATAAGCTCCTCCACTAGTCGATGGTGCCGATTTTAATTCCTGCCTGTTGGGGCGGTACATTTGTGCCAGGGCAGCCGAAACCCATCCTCGGGATCATGTGGGAGCCTTGTGCTTCCAAAGAAACACGCGGAGATAATGGGAACCTTGGGGCAAACTCTCGTTGGCCGCCTCATTGTTCTCTTTTTACTAAAGGCAGCACTTTCCTTAGCCTGCCTGGAGTCTTAGCTGTGCTTCCTTTCTATCAGTCCAGCTGTCTCTGGCCCCACAGGGATGTTTGCCCATGACTGCGCCAGGGTCACATCAGCAGACCATCTACGGAGGCTGAGTCTCCTCCCACCCCCACCCCGCCCCCCAGGTTCTTTCTGCACTGGTGAACTTGGAGACATCTGAATGGCCATCTGGTTGATTTATCCACCAATCACCGTCTAACAGGCAGGGGTACGGGCAGCCACCATTCCATAATCTTACGTTCCTGTACCATTTATTTGGCATCTGTAGTATGCACTGAGGAAAGACGAGGATAATTAATGCGTGGACTGTGTCTTTGGGAATCCTAAGATCCAGCTGGGCAGAACACATGCGCACACATGCACCTGCTCTCTGGTAACTTATCAGATGAGACAGTATGTACAGAGCGCTTTTCAAACCTTAGATCTCTATAATTGCCAGCCATCATCATCACTGTTACTAAAGTACATGGAAAAAACAGCGGGAGTTCCAGGGGTTGTGCAGAGTGGGAAGAAGGAGAGGTGTCTCCACAGAATCGCGGATTTGGACTGCAGGCAACCTTAGAGCTCCTAGGACCCTTTCTCTAGAGCTGGGGGGCTGGGGAAGGGTGTCACAGAGGTGCCAGTCAAGATGCTGCAAAAGGAGCAAGGAAGAGGGGCATCGGGGAGGCTCCCTGGAGGAGGAAGCCTGTGTTCTCTCTCCTCTTCCTCTGAACACCATAGGCACAGAGGCTGGCTCTGATCTCCTCCTCGTGTGTTCCCCCAGAGGTACCTCATGAGTATTAGTTGAATCAATCCATTTGAGCTGGGCTTCCAAGGAAGGGGGTGGTTTTCTACTGCGCACAGGGTAGGACTCGCTCGATTCAGTGCAGAAGTGATTCATTCTTTGGTCAGGGGACGCCCTCTCCTCCTCTTAGCAGAGCGTGGAGCGCAGGGGTCCGCCCTCGCAGGGAAGCTGAGCCAGTAGCCTTGGGTCCTGACACCAAGGAGCAAAGGGGACCTAGAGGTCCTGGAGGACTCACGTCCCTTCTGCTTGGCCTGGGGGACGGGTCTTTGGCTCTGCTCCAACCTTGTTTTTTTGCCTGGGGTTCAGCAGAGAAGGGCAGTGCCTTCCTCCCTCTGCTCTCTCCTAGAGGATGAAGCACCGTGGTTCAAGAGAGCCCGTTACTCTGGAGCAGCTAGGGGGCGCCATAGTGCACAGAGCGCAGGGCCTGGAGTCAGAAGGGCTCATCTTCCTGAGTTAAAATCTAGCCCCAGACCCTTGCTAGCTGTGTGACCCTGGGCAAATCACTTCACCCCGTTTGCCTCAGTTTCCTCATCTTTCAAATGAGCTGGAGAAGGAAATGGTGAACCGCTCTGGTATCTTTGCCAAGAGAACCCCCAGTGGGGTCATGAAGAGTTGGATGGCACTGAAATGATTGAACAAGTCATCCTAAGTGGCCTCTCTCCGAACATCCACCCCCCCACACACAGACACACTGCATGATGACTGTCCTGGCTGGACTCGGGGAGTCTGATTCCACGACCCAGCTAGAGGATGCTGCCCTGATGTGGAGTCGCAAGATTGGAGCGTGGGTCAGGTCCGTCCCCCAAGGGAATCCCTGCCGCCATCTCCAGCCTCTGCCAGGGGACCTGCGGAAGGAGGACATCCCACGGTCAGGCTCGGACCCCCATGGGCCCCTCGACGCCTGCTCTCTGGGAGTCCCTGGGAAAACGCGCGCTCTTTGAGAGCCCAGACGGCTGCATATTCTTCCTCACTGAACCCAGGGGCCGGTACAGTTCTTTGCACATATGAAGCAATTGCTGTGTGTTGGATTGAACTGAGCCCGAGAGACATGTCAGGTGTTTGGCTGCCTCCAGCCTGGCTCATGCTTGGAGAAGCCGTCCTGGCGATCTGGGGTCCCTGACTCCTGCACTTCTCCCTGGGAGGCAAGAATCCCTGCACTCTGTCACATGAGTACTTTAGACTGGATGACCTCCGAGGGTCAGCCTGAGGGTCCTGTGACCATCCGCCTCCATCCCTGGCTGGAGGACGGGCAGCACGGTGTGGCACCTTCTCTGGGCCACCCTTTCTCCCAGGGCTGAGTCACTTCAGGGACATGGCGACTCATCTGGGCAGCTGCCAGGTCAGCAGGGAATCTGGGAACTTCGTCATCTTGGCCAGTGCTCTCATGGGACAGATGAGGGAAGGGGGACTCATCTGGGGGGGGTGTTTGGGGGCAGAGACAGCACTAGGAGCTCCTCACCTGGCCTCGCCCCGGGGAGGCCTTCTCCCGTCTCTCCACACCTCTGTCTGGAGCCCCGGGTGGGCACCTCACTGACAGGTGACTGTCAGTCACCTGGGTGACTGGGAGCCTGCCAGGGACCGTGCGTCCTGCTGCTAGCGTCAGGGAGGACTGTTCTGCCCCACTGGCTCTCCAGCACCTTTTTGATCTTGCCTGGGTTTGCTAAGTCAGGACCTCAGGCTTTTAGAGTAAGGAAAGAAGGGAAGGAAGAAAGGCTCAGTTGAGCTCTGTGCCAGGCATGGTGCGTGCATTTTACAGATATTACCTCATTTGAACCTCAATACTGCTAGCAGGTGGGTGCTGTTATTATCCCCATTTTACAGTTGAGGAAACAGAGGCTGACAGGGGTGAAGTGACTTGCCCAGGGTCCCATAGCTGATGTCTAAGTGTCTGAGACTGGATTAGAATTCAGGTCTTCCTAATTCCAGGCCCAGCAATCTGTGCACCGTGGCACCCCCAGCTACCTGACTAAGGAGAAGACCCTGGCTCAGATGGCAGACTCGACTTCCCAGCCCAGCATCTCAGATGTAGACCCTGACACGCAGCCTGTTATACCAGGAGGGCCCCGGAGCCCTGAGACTAGGGCATGCAGGGAGAGCCCAAGAGGGGCTCACTGGCCAGGCCCACCTGGTGCATGAAGGTGGATGAGGCAGCGGACAGCCAGTGCCTAGAGCAGGCTGCTGAGGATGAAGCCAGGCAGAGAGTGCCAGCAGGCCCCTCGAGAGTGGGATATGGTGACCTCTGGATGTGGGGTGGGCTCCAAAGCTGCTGCTCAATGCTGGGGCCAGGGAGCAAAGCTCGGGGCCCGTGGTTGTCCACGTTCCTCCTCTGTCTGCCCGTGTTCTTCCCGCCTTGTCCTCAGAAACATGCATGCACGGTTCTTAAGGTTCTGTGATTCCGCTCCTGGGCTGTGCACCTGGACATGACAGGAGGAGGGCAGCTGGGGAGGGCGAGGGGCATGGCTAGTCCAGCTGCATCTCAGAGAAGGTGGGAGGTGCTTGGAGGCTTGCGTGTGTAACTTTCTGTGTGCACAGAGCACGTGCGGTCAGGAGGACAGTGTTCCACCAGGAATCCCTCTATGCCCAGATTAATTAATCTCTGCCCCAGCTCACAAGAGCTTTCTGTCGCTTTGTTTCAGGAATCAGCAACGCTGAAGCTCGACAACCAGGGAAAGCCCCAAACTTCAGTGTCAACTGGACGGTTGGGGACCCCAACCTGGAGATCATTAACGCCACCACTGGGAAGGATGAGATGGGCCGTGCATCTCGACTCTGCAAACAAGCACTTTACAGTCGCTGGCTACGCATCCATGCCAAGGTACGTCCAGCACACCTCACACCCTGAATGGGCTCCTTCTGGGCAGAGGCCTGGGGCCACTCGGTCCGTGCAGCTGCTGCAAGGTCTCGGGCTTCTGCCCCACCACCGTAGCTGCCGCTAGTGTTTCATGGCATCCAGATTCAAAACTGTCTCGTGAATGCTGAACTAGCACGGCCGCCTCCCAGATAAAGGGAGGCGAGAATGAAACAGAAGCAGAGATGCATCCTGACGCCTACTACAGTAACAGTCTAGGGTGGCAATGTAAAGATGCCCACGCTCTGCTTGACTTCCTCCTCTTTGGATTTTAGAGTTCGAGTTCAGTCCCAAAGGCTCTGAGCCCCCTCAGGAAGATTCCTCACCCTTTCCTGGACATGCTGTGGTGGAGGCGAGGTTCAGGTAGCTGGCCAGGAGAAGGCAGGTTCTATTCTTACCCCTGTGGATGGAAGGTGGTGAATGAGCCAACCTTTCCTTGGGACTTCTCGCCCCCTGGGGAGCCAGCGAGGCCCTCCATCCCCCTTCTTGGCCACACTCACTCCAGCCTCCTGTGTCTAGAGGCTCAGAATGTCTTCTCCCCACTCTCAGGGGCTCCTTCCTTTTGGGTGGAGTCCTCAGGAAGGGCCCTGTTTCTCACACTGGCTCAGATTGATTCAAGGAGGTGTACAGGCCCTGTTCACACTCTGTTCCTTGTTTGATTCCATCAAAAAGTGCTCTTGTCTAACGAAACTTTTCAGTGGGTGGGATAGTCGTGGGAGCCCACAGGTAGAACAGGTGGAACCCAGGGGCCTCCCCTTTCCTGGTGCGGGAGAGCTTTTCTCTCAGAGGAGGCTTCCCCCCTTCTCTCCTCAGCCCTCAGTCATGACTGACAGCCATTCCTTCCCTTCTAGCTCTCCTCCAACATGCGCACCAAGGTCGGCAAACCCCACCTGTACCATGAGTGCAAGCAAGGCGCCATGGAGTACCAGTCTGCCAAAGAGTCACTCTTCAGGGCCTTCCTCAAAGCGGGCCTTGGAGCCTGGGTGGAAAAGCCCATTGAGCAGGACCAGTTCTCTCTCAACTGCACACCCTGACCCGGGGGATGGCACCTGGACACCCGGCCATCACCTGGCGCCTCTGCCACAAGGAGCCCTCCTGCGCGTGCGCACGCCCTCCCACAATCCCCTACACACACACTCCCACAACGGCACACACACACACACACACGCTCCCACAAGAGCACACATATGCATACGTGCTCACACAACTGCACATACCAGCACCCACACGTTCAGACAGCCACACACACATACACACACACACACACACATGTGCGCGCGTGCATGCACGCATACACCCTTTCTAGGATTAACCAGCAACTGCTTTCATTCCCTTTTCATGTTTTGAAAATCTAATTGTTAGGTTGTTTCATTTTATGTTTGAGAACTTGGGTGTAATTCTCTACAAATCCATCCGTCTTAGAGCCGCTACAGTGCAGACTGGGTCTAATTTTCACATCTCCACTTAAGTCAGACCCTGTCCTGGGTTTGCCCCAGCCCCGGCACTCCCCTCTCCCATATAAGGCAATATAGGTAGGTGCACATACTCAACGTACATGCTAGCATTGGGGTTTTCACAGCATTTTTAGGATGTGGTTTGAATTTTTCTAGAACTCATCTACAAAATCCATTTCTGCTCCTTCATAAGCTTTTTGTGAATGAGAGAGGATGTGCGTGATGAGGCGGTGAAGCCAGAAGGATTAACTGTGGAAAGCCTGCTCGTCCCTACCTCCTGGTCCTTTAAAAAACCAGCTGCCGAGGAACGCTCGGTCGTCGACGTGTGTATCTATTAGTCTGTGACCCGGTTCCAAGTACTTGTCCTTGCCCCACATTTCCACACGGTGTAAAGTCTTCATTTTTTTTTTTTTTACCATTATCAACTGGAAACCAAGTAGAGGTCATTTGTAAGTTCCACAATTCAGTCTGTATAACACAGAAGAAGTTGACTCTTAGTAGCTGATTTTTCCTCCGCCCCCTTCTCTCTATAGTTATATATATATATATATATATATATATATATATATATACACACACACATACATACACACACACACACACACATATATCTATACACACCCAGGAATTCAGAGTACAATCACAGCTTTAGCATTACTAGGGCACCTTTAAGAACCAGCGTGATTCGTTAGGAACGTTTGAACGAACGCCAGCCCTGCCGCCTCCCCTCCTTCCTCAGTGACTGGGAGGGCCCTTTGGGAAGATCTGCTTTGCAAACCTTAATTCCAGGATTCTTCCCCCATCTATTCATGTTCATCCTTCATTTGACCCCTGGGTCCCGTGGGCGTCGGGGGGTCCTGTGGAACTTGAGTCTGCAATTTGGGGGCAGGGCCAGGTGATCGAAAGCTCCCTGCGTTTGCTCAGAGCGCTGTTATTGCAAGATGATCCTGGGCCTCTTTCCAGACTTTCCCCTCCATGTCTGCACACGGAGCCAGCCCGAGAGTGATCCGTGACAAGGAAGTGAGGTCTGAGGCTGCTTCTGCCCATCAGACCTTTGGGTAGAAAGGTCAGAACGAACTGGTTTGAACCAGAGCTGCCTTCCGTGTCTCCTCGCATGGGTGTCTCGCCAAGGATGGCTTTCCAGGCCCTTTGGGAGGAGGCACCTCTCCCCTAAGAGGAGTCTCAGAGGAGTGGAAAGGTCGCAGTTGCCTAATGTAGCAGCAGCATCCCATGGTTCGGGCAGCCAGGAAGCAGGGCCTGTGCCAAGGAAGGGTCACCATCGCTGCTGCCCAAACACATTGACTCTTCGACTCCTGGAGCAGCAACTACCTCAGCCCGGGCCACTCCCTTTGGATTAACCCACACCTGGCCAGAAATGAGGAGAAGAAGGCAAGAGAGCAGCGAGTTACAGAAGTGCTCCATGTCATGACAATTAGTATTCAGCTTCAGGTCCTTGCAGAAGAAAGGAAATTCGGTTTCCAAATGGGAGAAAAAGGAGCTTTGGCAACTGTGAACCATTTCTGTTAAAGGGCCCTGAGTCGGTGCGACATTAAGAAACAGGACGAGGATTTCTGGGAAAAAGAGACTGCATCCACTCACAGATGGGGAATAGCTAACCTAGAAATCCAGGTTTGGGGTGAGAGGAAATGGCAGAAATCTGCATTGTTTTTAAGGGAATTTTTTTTCCCTTAAAGGAGGAATGGTCACTTCTATAATTTTCTCAAATTATTTTTTAAGAGTTTATTTTTGAAAAAAGTTTCTTTCAGAATCTGAGCTCTTAGGAATAGGGCCTTTTAAAAGTCCCTGACATGGTGAAAAGAACGGGAGCGATTTTGCACAAAAATCTTGAACGGTCCATGTTCGAGGGTAGGGGGCCAGGCGAGGGAGGGCATTTTCTGGGGTCTACTCATCGTCATCATGTCTGATCAGTTTTCTGGCCGGTCACTTTGCTCAGCGAGGAGGCATCTGTGTGGAAATGGAGGAGGAGGAGGAGCAGGTGAGGGGACCCAGGATTGTCTGGGATTCCCTCTGCCACCAGAAAGATTTGCTGTGCTCTGGTAGAAAAGACTGGCGCTCTGCGTTCCTTGGCTTTCTCCCCAGCGTCAGCGCTGTCTCCGGTTAGGTCGAGAGCTCAGACGCCACGTTCGCCAAGCTTGGGACCTCCCCCCACTTTTGCTGCCGCCTCTTTCATGTCCCTCTTTGGTTAATATGGCAGCTGTCCTGGAAAGCCTCTAATTGCTTAATTTTGAGCAATCAAAGATGAAAATGTGCCCACTGAAGGCCAGGCACTGTGGGGCTCCCTGGTCTTGTCAGGCCGGGCTGCGCAAGCCTCGCTTGGGATGGGTGGGGGCAGCTCCGGGGCTGGCCGCGGACTTTCCTTCTTCCCTAATCCCCCCTCCTTATTTTCATTCTAACGAGTGAATATGAATGTTTTCCTCAGGATCATCAGAAAATTGAAAGAAAATGAATCAAGCTGATGTAAATACTTGAAAAAATAGAGCAAGGTTTTCTTCCATTCTCATCTAGCTTTATCAAAGACGTGTCTAACAAACCGAAGTGATTCGGCCTGGAAGGCTATGCGACGATATTGTGTAGGGGTGGGTCGGGCCGTGGGCGTGAGCCTCCCTCGGAAGACTCGCGGTAGTTGCCTTGTTACCGTACTCAGGATTACTGAAGGACTCCTCGAGAAGTTGTCCTGCCCTTTGCCACCGAAGCACACATTTTCTGGCTGAGAAGCGGGTCTCCACAGCCCCCTCCCCCCAAGCATCGGTCACTTACTAGTAGGGCTCGTGAGGACGGCTGGGTGGTGCTGCCAAGGCGGGACCTCCGGCTGTTGTCCTAGGGGACGTTTTTTCATCTCTCTCATAGTTGGAGAAACCAGAACGTGTCAAGGATGAATACAATACCCATCCTCATGCCTAGTGTCAAACTCACCACTGTCTGTATTAGGTGACTGCTGAATCGCTGGAGGCCAGTCCTCCGTGGCTCTGCCCTGAAGGAGGCCCGGCACTGACTGCTGGGGGTGAACAGAGCGCGTCCCTGCCACCCCGCGAGAGCCCACGCCAGGGAGGAAGCTGGGCACCTGACCGGCATTTGCACATTGACAGAGGCTCGACTCACGTCCCCCGTGGCCAAGAAGTGGTTTCTTCTTTACAAAACACGCCTGTCATGCAATCCAAGGGGAGCCTCTTTTGGTTGTTTTGTTAAATCAGGTTGAAAGGTTTGGGTTTTTTCCTACCTAGAAGCTAACAGGTGTCTGAACGGTGTCACTGCCTTGGAAAGAGGCGACTTTTGCACTGAAGAATACCTTGTGTGCTGTTGCGTTTTTATTGTTGTCGATACAGAAGATGTTGTATTTTTTCTAAGGGGGTGGGGAGAGCTTGTAATTCAAATCATGCTATTTTTAAGAAATTGTCTATTGAAGCGCTGCTCTAGAAATATAGGAGAGTGAGTTGTCCCGCTTTGTCTAGCACGTCCCGGCTGTGTGTTAAGAATCCCCGCTTCTCCTCTCCCCGCTGCTGTGCCCCAGAGTGCTATAGCTGTGTCCTCTGATTGGGGACAGAACTCTCCAAGCTTTGCCATCCCCCTTACTGGGCATCTTTGGTTCCCAGGATGGAGGAGGCTGACCCCACAGGTGCTGTCCTCCGGAAATCCAGGCTTTGGGGGCTACCCGCAGTCTGTAATCAAGGGCTTCCCTCAGAAGGAAGGGATCCCCTTCTATGTGTGGGGTACCCGGCATGGCCCAGAGTCTGGACTGATCTCCCCTGGGGTAGGCGTTGCCTTGTGGGCTTCCCATGACCCTTTGAGGGTTACCATGAATGCTGGGGTGAACAGGACAGCAGCTTGCAGGTCTGCGGGGGTGGGAGGGGCCAAGGACTCCTGACCTCATGCCAGAACAAGAGGGTGTCTTTGCCTGCAGCCCCCTAGGATGCCTGGGCATGACCTGAACCTTTATCAACGCTGTAGCCTGGACCATCGGAATCTGAGCTCTTCACCCAAAGATTCAAATAGTTTAAGAAAAAGAGGCCTCAGATGGCTTCAAGTAGCAAATGGGGCAAGGTAGACTTGTGCCTCCCAACACCATGGGAGTCTGCCATGGCTGCCTACCATGATTTCATGTCCTTTCAATGATCTGGGTTTAATAGCGACCATCCTTGTCCCCAGAGGAGGTCTCCCTGGAAGATGGGACAGAACGGAGAACTGTTTGCTCCTAGGACACCCTCCTGGCTCTGGGAGGAGCTTTCCTGCCATCACCGTTCAGTCACCATGGATTGGCTGGGGGTCTAGACCAGGGGTCTAGTCACCTGACGGAATGGATGACTAAGTCCCGTCCCTTCTTGGCCCCTTGAGCTTCAGCTGGGACCCTTCCAGAGGAGGAGGTAGTGGGCGTCCATTTGATGAGGGAGCTTTGTCATATGCTGGAAAATCTCCCACCCCATCCTGCCCCCCAATCTGGTGCCTAGAGAGCTAATGCCCAGGTGATGCTGTCATCCGCATCAGGTGAACCAGTGTGGCATCCCTACCCAGATGGTATCTATCTTGGGGCTCCTCACTGTTCATGTCCTAGAGTTTTCCAGAATGGCCCTCAAAGTAACATACAGCTGCTCCAACAAACATTTGGAAAGTATTCTGCCTTTGTATCCTTAGTGTTTTGCATACAGCAGGTGCTTAATAAATACTTGTATTGAATTGGTTTGGTTAGGATTTCACCTTAGAGGTAGGTGGTCTTCAAAGTGTGCCTGGCATGATGGAAATGGTGCTTTAAGGGTGCCAGGTGGGCTGCTGGACAACAAAAGGCATCATTTAATCTCTGCCTCACCCCCCCCCACCCACTCCACCTAATCATTTCAGCTGCTAGAATATTCTATACCCAGTGTCTAGGAGTATTTCACAGTCACCTTAGAAACATGGCTAGGTCCTTTTCAAGTATTAAAATGAAGTCACTGCATAGGAAAGGTTAATGAAGTTAGTCTGCCTTCGTCATTCTTAAATTCTGGGAAATGATAGTGCTAATCTGGGGGAGGGTATTTCAGGTCAAATCCAAACTAAGCGGGGATGACAAAGGCAAGAAGCCTGGGAGCCCCTAAATCTTGGTAAGTCTGTCCCTTCCTCATCCACTCAGTGGAGCAGCCAGTCCTATGTGGAGCGGGTGTCCTCAGTGGGGTCAGAGGTCAGAACAGGCTCCATACAGGTAACTCACAAGCAGTTTGCTGGTGTTCCATCCCCTCCCCCCCACTACGTATAACATGGGCTGGGCTGTGGCTATGAGATCAGAAGCCTGGCTTTCAGGTAACGAATGTGGGGTTTCTTTTAATGGAATTTTTAAAGTGTTCTCTCTTGGGACCTTCATGAGCAGCTGTGGGATGAAAGATGGGATTTCATGGTGATTTTGATTCGCATGAGGCTCACCACACCCTCCGGGGCGCAGGCCCTGTCTCGTTCTACATTCTGTGCCGACAGTTTCCTTCCTTGATACAGGAATCCCTGAACTGTGTTCTGTCCCTCCAAAGGCCACCCCTGCTCTCCGTGACAGCCCTGCTGGGAGCTGCGTCAGGCGCTGACAG